AATTATCCTAAACGTCTTAAGTATATGTAAAATTTTGTCATTAGTAAATAATTGTAAGGTAGCGCCCTCTGTGAATTGATATTTTAATTTCACGTATAATCCTAAATTAAAATTCACTACAAGAGCTTTCATACACACGTTAGTATTAAAAAATCTCACAGATGGCGCTGTATTAAATAGTATGCATATTTCTGTCTCATTCTTTGCTGACTTCATCCTACACATTTTTGTATTTGTGTCTCTTACCTGTCGTTTTTCCGTTGCATCCGGTTTGAAATCACAACGATTCTAAAGAAGTTTTCACTTCAAAAGTTAAGGATTGTTGCGATGGATTTGTGTCATCTACCACCTTCTTCTCCATTTATTTTTATTTGGTTTTATTTTATAAACGCATCATTGTAACACGCTAAGGCGCACAATATCGGAGCAGCAGCAACTTAAACGTCCATTTCAGTCAAATGCGCGAACATAAATGCGAAAGGTTGCATGTGTAGAGGGCTATGTTTTTCACGTCGTGTTCATGCGCGAACCGCGGCCGTGATTCGCGGGCGAATGTAGAGCCCGTATAACGTGTAAATGAGCTCACTAAGCTCAAACCGGGAGTATTGCTGACAGTGGCCCTAGCAAGAGTAGTGATTCGCAGAATCTACCACCGGATCGGAAACGCGACCCACTGAGAAGATCCGGCGAGAAACTCAGCGGGATGTGTCTATGGGTTAATTTACTCGTCGAGCCCTTCGTCGCAAGCGACGGGTTCGGCGAGGACGGTGACCGGTGCTTGTCGTACCTAAAAGCATCTGTGCGATACGTTGTATCAATTTATTTATATATCATTGGAAATGTCCCCCCCCCGCCCCCCACCTGTGAGACTTGAACCACGGCATGATTACCACACTATACGAATGCTCCGGGCTTCTTACCACTTAGACCACCGCTTCATGTACATAATAGACTCCTAAGACTTTCCTTTCATTCAAGTCACTTGTTTAAACTGGGGAATCCCGCGAATTAGGAATGTCAATAATCGAAAGAAAAAAAAACATTATACACGTACCCTTCGGATGTCTCTCGTTCTTCAGAAACATTATCTTAGCGGCACTCTCTTTGTCTTCACTTCGATCCGCGAATAAAGCTGCACAATAAAACAATCAGTGAATTAGTACAGGAAGTGTGAAAACAACCCTACATATAAAGTTTTGAACGACTCGCATCTGCGTAATGAAACTATACACTCGATGACACTTTTCCGAATAAATAAATATAGTAAAAAAAAATATTACAATAATAAGACAGTGTGTGTGCGTGCGTGTGTGCTTGCGTGTTTGCGTGCGTGTGTGCGTACGTGTGTGCGTGCGTGTGTGCGTGCGTGCGTGTTTGCGTGCGTGTGCGTGCGTGCTTGCGTGCTTCTGTATTTATATTCAAATGTATACATATAAGTATGTACACCAGTCTCTAGTTCCCCTGGTACAGATAATTCTAGTTTATATCTAGAAGATAGCGTGCGCATCTATGAAATTGTATTCAACGGTTGTTTTTAAGAACCGTAAAAAATATGATTATTACATTGAAGACACTTAAAAAACATTTTCTTTTGTGTTTATTATTAGAACTTTAGGCTTAGACATGAGTTAAATTCAGTGTTTAGTGTAGAGCGAGTTAAATTCTCAAAGTGAATAAGATTTCAACGTACCTGTAACACTCTTTGAAGTACCAATATAGGCGAAGTTGACGTCTGTGATGTGATCGAGTGCCTCCTCGTCCAGCATGGCGCGGATGCGTTCGAGGAAGGTGAGCACGTACACGTCGGTCTGGTGAGGGGATATCTTCCACACTCCCAGTCCTGCAGCAGACAGTCACACCTCACACCGTGCACCCCCCGGGCTCCGCGCCCTCGCCCCCCGCACTCACCGCAGCCCACCACGTTGAGGAACACGCTCCGGCCTCGAGCCCGCCCCTCGGCCTCCAGCAGCACGGTCTCCGCGAGGATGCAGATCCGCTTGTAGTAGACCTCGTTGTCGAACCAGGCGCCCCCCCGCGGCAGCTTCACGTAGCGGTCCGAGGCCGCCCCCGCGAGCCGCGCGCTCAGCTCCTCGTACGTGTAGCTGTGCACCTGTAGGGGCAGGTCAGTGTGACGTCACGCGTCCGTGCACCTGCTGACGTCACAGCGGTACAGACCTGGTACAGCTCGGCCCACAGCTGCCTCCAGGCGTGCTTGGCGAGGCTGGCGTCGCGCGTGTACGTGTGTCGCAGTACGTCCATGCATCTGGTCGGCGCCTCGTGCTCGCCGTAGCCGCGCTCTGCAGTGTTCTGCGTTTTCGATATCACCATGTCCTCGTAGTCCATTCGATTCAACCGCTTGAAGCGCGGCCCTATGGCTCCTAAAAAATATCACAGTTTGAGCTGCACACATACCATGGCCTCGAGAGATTCCCTCAGGTCGAGCAGTTCTCATACTCGATTCTGTAGACCGAATGGTAAACAGTCGACGTCGCCAAAAACACGTCATTACGGATCCTCCCGATCCATTAACGGTGCTTTTAGTACCACAAGCACCGGTCACCGTCCTCGTCGAACCCGTCGTTTGCGACGAAGGGCTCGAATTAACCCATAGACACAGCCCACTGAGTTTCTCGCGGGATCTTCTCAGTGGGTCGCGTTTACGATCCGGTGGTAGATTCTACGAAGCACTGCTCTTGCTAGGGCCAGTGTTAGCATCACTCCCGTTTGAGCCCCGTGAGCTCGCCTACTAGTTAAGGTTACGCTGAAATAGCCTCTCAAGGCTATCAGCTTAGGTAGGAAATAAAAAAAAGCAGTTCATCGGACTTCACAGATCCTGCAACTTGAACGCCTTGATAAATGTAGCATTTGTTTTGATATAATGGCTACCCTTTATAGGTGCCTGTTTCACAACCAGAATCAAGGCCTCTTTTGCATCCCCTGACTTTAAACAAAACTAGCAAAAGTACTAATATATTCCAACAGTTGTTGACGGAGAAATCTGAAAGTTACAGAGACAATTAAGAGTAGAAAGGTTCTGTGATATGGGTGTATTGTGCGAAAGGGAAAATGAGCATGTGGAAAAAAGGCCTAGGGTATGACATTAGACGGTAATGTGAGGAGGGGGCATGCTAAGAAGACTTAGACTGTGTGAAAGGAGATATCCCAGAGAAAAGTGTGAGTGCAGTGAGATAGGTCTGAGCGGAAAAAGAGGACATGTTGCACCGACCTCACATAATGCGGAATAAGGTCAAGAAGACTAATTGTTGCTGAAGAAAATCTGAATAGATTCAGTGGTACAATAACTATATCTGCCATGTTTTAACTTCCGCTGTTTACAAATGTAGTTGAGATTTTACTCTCTGATCTTAAGGTATCCACTTATCTGATATTTGAAAGACTGAGCGGACGATCCTCCCGGTATTTCGACCCCAAGAATTTTTGTGATAAGCTTCTGATCCTCTACTCCAGTACTCCAGACACGGTTCGCATGAATTTTATTTATTTATTTATTTATTCCATTCAATACAAAGTCAGGCTTACAGTTTTCACCAAAACGCCTGACTCGTTAACACTACGTTTTACGACTACTCTTCGATTTTACTGGTGGTAGGACCTCTTGTGAGTCCGCGCGGGTAAGTACCACCACCCTGCCTATTTCTGCCGTGAATATCAGTAATGCGTTTCGGTTTGAGGGGTGGGGCAGCCGTTGTAACTATACTTGAAACCTTAGAACTTATATCTCAAGGTGGGTGGCGCATTTACGTTGTGGATGTCTATGGGCTCCAGTAACCACTTAACACCAGGTGGGCTGTAAGCTCGTCCAGCCAACTACGCAATAAATAAATAAAAACGAACCTATGATAATGGCTTCCTTCTCGATGTCATCGTCGTCTAGAACGCCGCAGTTCCTCCTGGAGCCACTGTTGATGCACTCGGTGGGTCCGCTCACGAACAAAAAAGCAGAGAGCTTTATCTCATCGTAGCTGAGCACGTCTTTCAACACCAGCGGCTCTGTTTCCGCCGGGGTCCCCACGTTCTCCCAACCATCGACGCTACGAAAACGGAAAGGTTGCTAAGATACTTAGACTAAGATACTTTACTGGTGGTAGGACCTCTTGTGAGTCCGCACGGGTAGGTACCACCACCCTGCCTATTTCTGCCGTGAAGCAGTCATGCGTTTCGTTTTGAAGGGTGGAGCAGCCGTTGTAACTATGTTGAGACCTTAGAACTCATCCACCCATTTAAGCAATAAAAATAAATAAAAGATGAAGTAATAAGAATTTCAGAATTGAATCACGAACCAGATACGCTGCTTTGTATTAGCGTCTTTAAAATACAGGTTTTTTTTACATATATGGATGGACGAGCTCACAGCCCACCTGGTGTTAAGTAGTTACCGGAGCCCATAGACATCTAGAACGTTAATACCGCGTTATGAGATATGAGTTCTAAGGTCTCAGTATAGTTACTACGGCTGCTTCAAACCGAAACGCATTACTGCTTCACGGCAGAAATAGGCAGGGTGGTGGTACCTACCCGTGCAGACTCAGAAGGGGTCCTACCACCAGTGTCTACATTATTTAATTTAATACGGAACCCTCACGGTACGCTTCCTACTTTCTATCTGTCTCTACGATATGTGGCATAGAACTCACCGAACAATTTTCAGCATAATCTTGAACTTAAGTATTTTATTGAAAAACAAATATTGTTTGGTAGGTAAGGTAGGCTATGAGGATCGAAGACGTCTCGAGCCCATATAGCATCTGTGTCATTACCCCATCTAGCCCCCTCTAGTAACCGCAGGGACAAAATAGAAGGGGTACAAATGTAACAGGTTCATTGAATGTGCCATGGCCGACGCCGCCTAACACCACTGCGCCCACACCCTGCACCATAAGTAAAGTCACCACTCACAGTCGCATAATAAATCCAAAATTTGCTTGTTTGAATCAGCTTATATTGTAAGAGCCGTTGCTATTAAATATATAATTAGTTTACCATAGGCATCATTGGTAAAGGATGTACATATTTCGATATCGATTTTTTTGGGAGTCACTTGAATACATCAGGTATCAGCTATTAAAGAACATCTGTGCAATAAAGCTTACTATAAAGTCAATGATTATCTAGAAGATTGCATAAAGCGGGAATGAGTTGCTCGCTCCGGGCATTTCAATATTGTAGTAATTGTTACGTTATAATACTAATTGTAAAAATTCAAATTTAAAAAAAATCTAATATTAAAAAAAAAAAAAGACATGCCCACTGAGTTTCTTGCCAATTCTTCTCAGGACGGAGGCTTGTTCTTGTGAATTGGCGGTAGTTCTTTTGACGTTCAACAAGTATGTACTTTCATTTATGTTGAATAAAAAATTTTGATTTGATTTGACTTATTATCAAACTTTCATTTGTATCAATTTTTGTATCTGATGATTTTCTGAACCAGACTTTCTTTTAACTTAAAGACTGCTCAATGTATTTTTTGTTCTTATAAATGTACTAGAATATGTACATCTAACACTTACCCCTTCTTGCCACTCATTAACATATATGCATCGCGAGCTCCCATAAACGATACGGCTCTTTTCAGTAATAATCGATCAATAAGCTCTGGTATGGTCATGTCTCTGTATAATTCTTTCTCTATACTACTGCCATGTTCACTGCAACAATTTGTTTTTTCTATTAATTCCTTTAAAATACTAGTTATTACATTAATTATGAAAATTAGGGATTTTATTTGGATGTGAGCTTCAGCGATTACTCAAATTAATAAAAAAAACTTACCGTTTATATATTAAAAAGTGTGCCATCAGCAACAAGACCCTCTCGTGTATAATAGGATATGTCTCTGAAATATTCCTCTTTAATCTGTCTATGGGACGATGCTCCTTCAGTTTCTCCAATCTAAGCAAAATTATTTAATTACAATATCAGTAATTTAATACAATTTAGAAGACAATTTCTATCTACTGAGCTATGTATGCAATACAAAACAATAATAGGACAATCCTCTACTAGTCGACGTGAATGTAGTGGTGAGATCTTACCAGTACCATCCCAGCCCCTCCAATAGGTAAACCTGTATGAGTAGCTTCCCCACATAGTTTCCCTACAAAGTAAGGGTCAAATAACTTTTATACTATACAATTCAGATATAGACCATTTAGTGATCCTCTACATACCTTAACCCCGATGGGACACTACAAATTCACCATTTCCTCAGGACTGGTTAACCAGTGGAACAAAACCATGTCGCATAAAATTAGGATCAAGAAGGACATTTTAACTGAGAAATTTATATCCAAAATCATCATAAATTCTAAAAAGTTGTTGACCAATTTTTTATAGGTTTATTTCTACCACAGGATTTAATATTTTGGCACCTACAATTATAGAAATTGAGAATGAACAAATATTGTTTTATTTAATATGACTGCTCATAATGCAGGTGAAATATTTGATTAAGCTTTGTGTGTTACAATGAGCTTATATTAAGCAGTATACGTATATAATTTTTATTATGCTCAAAGACATAGCTTTTGTAACTTTTTTGTAACTTTAGTTTTTTTTTTGTGTAAATTAAAAATTTATAAAACACAGATTTTACCTCACAGTCTGAATCGGGAAAGGTATAGGAAAATTCTTGCTTCTCTCAATAATTTCATCAACTTCAGGGTCTGGTTCAATTTCAGGTATTTCAGTGCATTTCTGAATAAGTTCATTGGTCTCTTGGGTCATGCTCGGAAAACACCAGTCAAGTTTTATCCTACAATTTTTTAATAGTTACCATTGTATGAAAAAAAAAGATAAATTTATAATAATGTAATCATACCAAGGAAGATCTTCTAATAATTTTGCTAAATCCATTTTAAAAATATTGGTGCCTGCAACGAAAAATATAATTTTTAAACATTTTTCCTCATAACTGAGACTTAAAACTCATATCTCAAGGTGGGTAGCGGTATTTATTATGTAGATGACGATGGGCTCCAGTAACCACTTAACACCAGATGGGCCACCTGAGTTCGTACACTCATCAAAGCAATAAAAAAAACTATATTATTACTTTCACTATTAGGTATTTCACAATATATGAAAAGGTGTGCTCACAAGAGGCAGCGGGATGGTTGTACCCCTGATAATGTCAATGTCCATCAGCAATGGACATGTTTATAGTCATACAATAATTACTCTTCATACCTAATCTAATCAGTGGTTTTTAGTTTACGGGGGAATCTCAAATTGCAAAAACGATTTGTTTCTCAGTTGCGCGAAAACTAAAACGAACACACGATATTTTTAAATAATTTATGTTGTATTTTAATAATAAAATTTGGCTTTAAAAAATACTAATGACTTATTGCTTTTCCATATCTTACATAGGTAATTTGTAGGTCTATCTAATTATTTATTCAGCAGCAATTAAAGTTCTATTAAATTTATTACCTACCTTATTTGGTGGACTTTTAAAACTTTAAGGATGTTTGTAGATTTCTTAATAGGTATTTTATTTTAAATAAACATTTCCTGTGTATTTATTCAACAAGCGAGAAAGTCAAACTGAAATAAATATGAGCGGATTTTAGTTATAAACATATGTTGTGTTCAATCGTTCGTCAGCTTAAGAAGCGGGAATACCCAAACTCCAAACGGTAAAAATGTAAGCAATACATATTATGACGCAAGAATCCGATTACCGATTAGTCATCTTTTTAAAAATTACTCAATACTTTTGCTTGTACTGCTTGTAGTACAAGATAAAATTGATAATCATAGTACAGTACACCACTTTAAAGAGTAGTTTTAATATTTTTTTGCTGTCATTAAACTTTAGTAGGTAGGTACAAGGTTGTAGGTACGTAATAAAATTTGGATCAAATCATTGATATGTTATTTTAATCTATTTTGAATTCTATTAGATTAGAGTAAAAGTTTTATCAATCTTTAGAGGAGGCCTTTGTCGAGAGACAAGCTGTTTTTAAAACCACGCCGAACGTCGAACGGAATAATTGATTATAAGTTCACTTAAATTTAATTTATTATTAGGTAATGTATTAAGTTAGTAAAACAGCAATAAAGGCTAAAAAAAAAAATACAATACAATCACTGACGGATAGGTCTATGAATACAATACAGTTTAATAAATATTTCTGGCTGTATTGCATAAATTTATCTGGCTGGTTTTGATTAGTGTTTTGATTCCATTTGAAAAATGTATTCCCACCATTTTTCTTTTGCGAAGAATCTGCCGCAACCACGGTACCGTACATCCTTATATTATGACACATGCATTTTGAAGTTCTCGTGGCCTAAAGGATAAGACTTTCGGTGCATTCGTATCTTGCGATGCATCAATGTTCAAATCCCGCAAACAATTTTTATAATGAAATATGTTATTTTATCAAATGTTCACGAAGTTATAGACTTCCACGGTGAAGGAATAACACCGTGTAATAAAAATAATTGCACTACTGTAAAAACTGAGACCTTAGAACCTTAAGAGACCTTATATTATCTCAAGGTATAGGTCCATGGACTCCCGTAACCACTTAACATCAGGTAGACCGTGAACTTGTCTACCCAGCTAAGTAATTAAAAAATGCATTTACATTTTCGTATTACAAACGGCTTCGACCTATCAAAATAAAGTACAAGGCTAAAAGTCGGATTTATGGGCTATGTTTCCTTTGCTTGTCTAATTGGATAAACAAAAATAAACATGCTTTTTAAAATTTATTTACTAAAAATATGTGATTTTGTTTACAAAAAATTTGATTACCTATAATAAAAAAGTATGGAATCGGTACGTGCAGAAGTTAACAATGCATTTAAACTTAGTGGATTTACTATACGCAAAGAAGCTAGCACTTACGTTGCCGATCAAATAACTTCAATGACTCCACATGAACGACGGGCAATTCTTGACAAGTTAACTTCACACATTTTAAAACAATGTATTTCACAGCCCGTATTAGAGAAAGAACACCTGGAAATCGCCTTCAAAGAATGCTCTGCATCGGGTCTTGAAGAGACCGAAACTGTTTTAAACGTAATCGACGCTTTTAACATTCCCAAACTGAGTTACGACAATGAGAGAAATAAGTTCGTTAAATCTGTACATAAGAACAATTTATATCCAGAACCGAAGTGGAAAGCGCAATTCTTGATAGACAGATACGAAATAATATGGCAAAGAACTGTTAGGAATAAATTGTTTGCTCAAGAAGCCTTGCCTTCATTGGCCGAGGAGAAATATTTCCAATTGCGCAAAATCGAAGCGCTGCTAAGCTCTTCTAGTCGAATCGATGATGTGATTGTGCTCGGTCTTTTAATACAGTTGACAGAAGGAAAATATTACTTGGAAGATCCAACTGGCAGTGTTGTTCTCGATATGTCACAAACAAGGTACCACTCAGGCTTATTCACTGAATATAGCTTCGTTTTAGTTGAAGGTTATTATGATGACAAGGTATTAAATGTTATGGGCCTTGTGCTACCGCCGCCGGAAAGCAGAGCCTCGTCACTGCCATTTTTTGGTAATTTAAATACATTTGGTGGAAATTCTAAGACTTTACTTAAAAACTCTAAGTCATTGCTAAAGATTGAACAGGAAAATAAAGAAGGAATGATTATATTCTTATCTGATGTTTGGATAGACACATTGAAAGTTATGAATAACTTAAGAACATTATTTAGTGGCTACAATGATTTTCCACCTGTGGCTATCGTGTTCATGGGTGAATTCCTCTCGTGTCCGTATGGTCAGGAGCATTGCACACAGCTACGAATGGCATTATCAAACTTAGGTGAAATAATAGCTCAATTCAAGAAATTGAAAGATGAATGCAAATTTATCTTTGTACCTGGCAGATCGGATCCTTGTGCTGCCAATGTTTTACCAAGACCAGCAATTCCAAGTTCCATAACACAAGGTATAAGAGAAAAATTAGGTGATGCAGTCATTTTCACAACGAACCCATGCAGAATACAATACTGTACACAAGAGATAGTAGTTTTCAGGCAAGATTTAGTAATGAAAATGTGTAGGAATTCTGTACATTTTCCGGAGACTGGTGATATTCCTGATCATTTGGTGAAGACTTTGTTTAGTCAATGTACACTGTCACCATTGTCATTAGCTATACAACCAGTGTATTGGAAGCATTCGGATTCTTTAAGTTTGTATCCGATGCCGGATTTGGTAGTGATTGGCGACCATTTCCAACCTTATACTCGCTCATATCAAAACTCGCAGATTATGAACCCTGGGTCTTTTCCGCGAACTGAGTTCTCATTTAAAGTGTATGTACCAAGTACGAAAACAGTTGAAGATTCACAAATACCGAAAGATGATGGATGAAATACCTGGTTAATTAAAAATTGGCTCAAGAACTGAATCATAGTTGATAAGTAAATCAAATTGTTTTACAATCTAATATTTTATTTTCATACCCATTTTCAAATAAACAATTTTCTACAGTTACATTTAAATAATGAATTTATTAGGGTGCAAAATCCATTAAGCCACCCCCCTGTCTTGTGACAACTTCTGAGCTTGCCCGATACAGGACCCAGGAAAGGTAGAAAGGGCACAGAGGTCAACACAGAACCACCCTAAGTATGCCTGGCTGACTCATTAAGTATGCATGACTGGCTGAAAATTACTTGACGTTGGGTGTCGCGGTTAGTCAAGCAGTGCTGCTGCTATTCCAGATACTCCCTGGACCATCCTACCGGGGTCTATATAGATGTTATTTAATCACGTTTATTAACAGATGAGTAAAAAGCCCACATCATGATGAGTGGTTACCCTTGGCTAGCCATCATATAATATAAGATATTTGACAGATGCCTGAATCTCGGTTACGACATTTTCAAGATAAGCTTGCATATATTATACAAGTTTAACAACGTTCGGACCGTCGATCCACCTGCAACATCACCCGCTCAGTGGAAGATCTTCTTTTTGTCGTAATACCTCCACACTATCGCTCATAGACAACACAAAATATTGGCCTTGGCCTTTTAGTTACATTTTTGGTAGATAACATTTTCCGATATTACTCCTTCAATTACTGAATCATAATAGTTCCTTATCCGTTCGCGACGGGGCAACGTCGCCCATAACATGTCTTGTCGGATCTCTCGAATCTCCTCTCGGTGCTTTTAGGTCTCTAAAGCACCGGTCACCGTCCATTTTTTTTTTATTGCTTAGATGGGTGTTAAGTGGTTACTGGAGCCCATAGACATCTACAACGTAAATGCGCCACCCACCTTGAGATATAAGTTCTAAGGCCTCAGTATAGTTATAAGGGCTACCCCACCCTTCGAACCGAAACGCATTACTGCTTCACGGCGGAAATAGGCGGGGTGGTGGTACCTACCCGTGCGGACTCCCAAGAGGTCCTACCACCAGTGATTACGCAAATTATAATTTTGCGGGTGTGATTTTTATTACACGATGTTATTCCTTCACCGTGGAAGTCAATCGTGAACATTTGTTAAGTACGTATTTCATTCGAAAAATTGGTACCCACCTGCGGGATTCGAACACCGGTGCATCGCAACAACGAACGCACTGGACGTCTTATCCTTTAGGCCACGACGACTTCAATTGTCCTTGTCGATTACGACGAAGAGTTCGACGAGTGAACTAACCCATAGACACAGCCCACTGAGTTTCTCACCGGATCTTCTTAGTGGGTCGCGATTCCGATCCGGTGGTAGACACTGCGAAGCACTGCTCTTGCTAGTGTTAGCAAATTCTCTCAGGTTGAACCCGTGAGCTTAATCAGAACATACAACACAAATAAATGTGTTACTCATAACAATGAACAAGACTAAATTATTTTTAAATACTATTTTGGGTGAATTGGATGTAACACGAAATAAAATAAAATAAACTTTTAGTTTTAAATTTATTATTCAACTATATTTACATTAAAAATCTTTTATCTACAAACTAAACGATTTTATTAAATTCTGTTGCGATTGTTTGAATTATCAATGAATCTCTTCTTGAAGACTTCATGTATATAATAATATATTAGCTTTCGGATAGACGTTGGGGAAGGGAGTGCAATTGAATAACCCGACAAAGATAATCCCTAAAAAAATTCACAAATGGGATTATAGGTTATCAGGTTAAGTTAGAATTATAGGTTATATATTATTATATAAGGAAAACAAAAGAAGTAATAAGCAAAGCAGAGATGAGATAATCACGCTACACTATGTAGGTTAAAAGTAAAAATAAAAACACACTTTAATAGTCCTGTTGCTACTGAACAGGACATTAGAACGAAGTTATTAAAAATTTTGCATTGCGTTACGTAATCGGACGTCTTGAACATGACGTTCAAAGATTCTGTTACAAACAGGCATATAATTAAAAATACTAAGCTTTTAGCAGCGTGTTTAATATCTAACTATAAATAACTAGTGTGGCTTAAACAATGCCGTGAGAAAATTCGTTCATTGAAATACAATTTTGGACTGAGAAGATCAGAGAACCAAAGCCATACACAGGTCAACGTCAATGCCTTACAAATATGAACGGATGCGGGCTTACAAAAAAACTTAAATATATAGTAGTACTATTACTAGTGGCTTCGCCCGTACTGTCAGTGTATTGATTGATTGATAAGTCAACAAAATGCTCAGTGTGCTTAGTGCGAGTTTTTTAACGTTCTCGAAAGCGTTAAAGTTAACTCCAATTTGTGTGGAGTTGGAACGTTTGCCTACGTTTGCCGCTAGGGGCGTTGTTTCAACTGCATACAAATTTTAGTTAACTTTCACGCTATCGAGAACGTTAAAAAACTCGCACTAAGCACACAGGCAATATACATTTTCGATTGAATATTAAAATTATGTTATTATAAATGGACGGTATCAATGTAAACCTATACTAATAACAGTTCAAAAACATTGAAGATTGTAATTGTTTACCATAATTATAATTATACCATAGAAAGTGCATTTAAAAAGAAATCTTTTATTGCTTAGGTGGGTGGACGAGCTCACGACCCACCTGGTGTTAAGTGGTTACCGGAGCCCATAGACATCTACAACGTAAATGCCGCCACCCACCTTGAGATATAAGTTATAAGGTCTCAGTATAGTTACAACGGCTGCCCCACCCTTTAAACCGAAACGCATTACTGCTTCACGGCAGAAATAGGCAGGGCGGTGGTACCTACCCGTGCGGACTCACAAGAGGTCCTACCACCAGCATGAATACTGACATCGAAGCTCGCGTGTGCTAAACGAATTAAACACTAATATTAGCTTTGCTGGAGTATTCCTTGTCAAAAACATTAAACACTTACATCTACATATTTACCTTATTAGCCGTTTTAGATTATACCTCTAATTAAACAATTATTATACAATTAATAATATTATTCACTAAACCTAAGTATATTGGTTTTAATAAATACCACCCCTAACAATTACCTTAAATAGTATAGGTACATATTTATTTCAAATCTACATTTGGATACAGATTATAAAAAAACATATTTTGGAATACTTAATACTTTAAATATTCACGGCAACTCTAAAGAAATTGTGGTTGTTTTTGTGTAGTCATGTGAATGTAATAATCGCATACATTGTTTTAACGATAGTAAAGGGTTTTTTTCTTCTTCATAATATTTAAAATAATTTAGGTTTCCTTCTTATATAATTATGATGCATAATTAGGCTCCCATAATATTGTTATAAGTTTCTGTGATTGGCGCCAAAGCTACCAGACATACGACAGCCAGCGCGAACAGCAGTACAACGGGCCCGTATATACCTAAAAGTAATCTTCTGAAGCCGGAATACTGAAAAAAAAAAAACAATTATTCCTAACTCAAGAATAAAACCTCGTCCTATTTCTGCAAAGGAAGTAATCCTCAAAATCGGAATGCTAACATTGTCTACAAGTGAAACCTTCAGAACTATTCTATCGCATTCTCTCGCAGCAAATCCTATTTTTTTGTTATTGCTTAGACATTTTTGTTATTTATAGGGTGGACGAGCTTACAGTCCACCTGATTTTAAATCTGGAGCCCAAAGACATTTACGACGTAAATGTGGCACCCACCTTGAGATATCAGTTCTAAGGTCTCAGTATAGTTAGAACGGCTACCCACCCTTCAAACCGAAACGCATTACTGCTTCACGGCAGAAATAGGCAGGGCGGTGGTGCCTACCCGCGCGGATTCACAAGAGGTCCTACCACCAGAAAAAATATCTCTCTCTCTCTCTCAAGCCTCGTTTGAAGAAGGACATGTCATCGGGAAACACCGTGGATGGCTCATTCCAAAGCCGGATGGTACGTGGCCAAAAATATCTCTGGAAATGCACTGTGGATGACCGCAGTGGCTCCAGGTAGTATGGATGAACTCGACTCCGGTGACGGGCGGTGCGATGGTAAAAACGAGATGATCGAATCATCTAGATGATGGAATCATCTCAAACAATTCCTCAAAGCAGATCTATTAACGAATACACTACCGGTGCATCTCCAGTCCGATCTATCTGCGTGGGACGGGTTCCACCAAGCATATCCTTCATAGGGAAGGCGTTGACTCGCGCAGATCCTATACTGCCGTCCGATACGCAGGCTGTCAACTGTAAATAAACAAAAAAAAATCACAATTACTTTGTCTATGGATTTCATTATCTGTGCTACCTTGTTTAGCGGTAGGCAGCGGCTTGGCTCTGCCCCTGGCATTGCTGAAGTCCATGGGCGACGGTAACCACTCACCATCAGGTGGGCCGTATGCTCGTCTGCCTACAAGGGCAATAAAAAAAAAAAAAAAAAAAAAAAAAAAAAAAAAAAAAAAAAAAAAAAAAAAAAAAAAAAAAAAAAAAAAAAAAAAAAAAAAAAAAAAAAAAANAGCGGTAGGCAGCGGCTTGGCTCTGCCCCTGGCATTGCTGAAGTCCATGGGCGACGGTAACCACTCACCATCAGGTGGGCCGTATGCTCGTCTGCCTACAAGGGCAATAAAAAAAAAAAAAAAAAAAAAAAAAAAAAAAAAAAAAAAAAAAAAAAAAAAAAAAAAAAAAAAAAAAAAAAAAAAAAAAAAAAAAAAAAAAAAAAAAAAAAAAAAAAAAAAAAAAAAAAAAAAAAAAAAAAAAAAAAAAAAAAAAAAAAAAAAAAAAAGAATCAATTAAGGTGGACTTTTTGGCGGGAACGCGAGGAGTGAAGTTGTGTGATTTGTTTTATTTTGTCGCTAGACGCAAAGACGTAACTTCTCGGGATCCACCAAAAAGTCCACTGAAAAAGTCTCAGTAAATGACCACCATTTTACTGAGATTATATTTCATCCCACATCATCTCATTCCATTTCAATTCACTCCTTATTATCATTTTTCATAAAAATAAGAACATAAATTAAAATAATACATGATTTAAAGGCCTTAGTTACCAAGTCATAAAATTCCTTAAAAGAACAATTAAGGAGATTATAGAGCACACTCTGTGTATATGAAAAAGTGTCCATCGTAAATCGACATAAGGACATTAATATAACACAATTTTTTTGTTGATAATTAAGACATTAGCAGTGCCTCTAAAGCTGAGCCCCGTGAGCACGCCCACCAATCAGGGTGAAACCAGAATTATCCCTTCAAGCTACTGGTAGTTAGGTAGGAAACGAATATTTACTAATGACAATCTTTTTTACATTTACCCTCGTTACAAAAAACAATGAGTTAACAGTTGAACGTTTATGAGATATTTACAAAGATTCAATGTGTATATCGTACAAAACTACTCTATTCTGTATATTAAAAAAAAAAAACTAATAAATAAATCTTCTTTATAAACTGCTATTTCAAGTCTACTTTTTGGAAACAAAGTATGCACAATTATCGACATCCTAGATTGGAAAATATGATCTAAATAAATAATTTAAAAAAAAAAACAAAAAAAATACGCTTTTATAGAAAGTCCCACTAAAAAATAAAAAATGAGTCTTAATAAATTTGAATTAAGAATAGTGTAAGAAAATATGATTTTATTGTAAAAAAAAAAAGCGTGGAGTGCCATGGTATCAGTAGCTATAAATATTTTATGAACAGATATGAGTAGAAGGGTTATTTTGATAATATCCTGAAAAGCACCCCACGAATTTTTACAATAAAACCATTTTTTCTTACACTATTTTTAATTTATTAATATTGAATTGTCGTCGGTCCGACGTTTTGAAGGGGGTCAAAATCATGTTCAAAGATTCCGTTACAAACATACATACGTCTGAAGCTAATGAAAGCCTATTAAAAATACATACCGTTAGTACGAGGTGCATGACCACGTGGAATGCCACGAAGGCTGCCAGGACGAAGGTGGTCCACGCCGGTAATTCCGCCTTTTGGAGGTACACCGCGAAGAATATTGTTACAACTGAAAATTGAGTACCACAAAGACATTACAAATAAAAAAAAATAATCGGCATTAATCATCAAATTGTATATTTAATTTTGTGCGGCTTCATTTTTATAAGCCTGCAATAGGTATGTAAAGAAAAACCTCATTAGTTTTATAAAGATTTTGTCAAATTTGACCACGAACCGACAAGGATCGAGCTCGGTGTGTTTAGTGCGAGTTTTTTAACGTTCTCGATAGCGTTAAAGTTAACTCAAAATTGTATGGTATTGGAACGTTTACCTAAGTTTGCCGCTAGGGGCGCTATTCCAATTGCATATAAATTTGATTGATGTGGAGCAAAATACCACCCATAGACACAGCCCACTGAGTTCCTCGCCGGATCTTCTCAGTGGGTCGCGTTTCCGATCCGGTGGTAGATTCTGCGAAGCACTGCTCTTGCTAGGGTCAGTGTTAGCAACACTTCCGGTTTGAGCCCCGTGAGCTCACCTACATGTTAGGGCGAAGCTGATATAGGCTCTCAAGGCTATCAGCATAGGTAGGGAAAAAAACACAGTCTCTGTTTACTTACTGCCCAAGATGTGAGCCGTATTCCCGGCGAGCCAATGCGTCCAGTTGAAGTAGATCCTCTTATTAGTACCGGGGTGAGGTCTGAAGAATGCACCTGAAAAATAAAAACAGGATTTTTTTTTTCTTTCTTAATTAATATTTTTTTTAGGATGTTCTATTGTAATATACAATTTTATCTGTGTGTGTTTTTTTGTTCGTGATTTATGTGTCCAGCATTGTGTGAAGTGGTTACAGGGGTCCAAAGGGATTACAATGTGAATATCGTCATCAAACTTGAGGTCTATGTCCCAATTTTATGATAAATAGTAATTACAATTCAAATTTTTGCAATTTGATTACTATTGTACCACGTTATTTATTTATTCATTAGAAACGACCTTCAGAAATGCAGAGAGCGACTAAAGAAGAACTCATTCACCACGGAAGACTTTTTTATTGCCCTTGTGGGTGGGTAGACGAGCATACCACCTTTTTTTTTCTTTTTTATTGCTTAGACGTGTGGACGAGCTCACAGCCCACCTGGTGTTAAGTGGTTACTGAAGCCCATAGACATCTACAACGTAAATGCGCCACACACCTTGAGATATAAGTTCTAAGGTCTCAGTATAGTCACAACGGCTGCCCCACCCTTCAAACCGAAACGCATTACTGCTTCACGGCAGAAATAAACGGGGCGGTGGTACCTACCCGTGCGGACTCACAAGAGGTCCTACCATCAGTATACCTGATGGAGAGTGGTCACCGTCGCCCAAGTTTTCATTAAAATTAAAATAAGACTTGACCTAAAGGTCTAAGTTACCAGGTCACAAAATCCCTTAAAAAATGAATACCGTCTTAAACAACTGCTTACATCCCTTGTACATAAAATAGTTAAGCAATAATCTTAGCATTGAGGAAATAGTAAAAGTTAATTGATTTTAATCAAATAGTACTGTTGCGCTCATAAATACATATTCATCACTTTGTTTCTTTTGCTTCACTCACCAATGGGCTGTAAGAAGCAGAGAACAACCGTTATGATCCCGGTGATGGCGTGAGGGTTGTCTCCGGTGTCGGACCAGCCTCTAGCCTCAATTAGGATCAGGACGAAACCGGCCATTGTCAGCAGCCACGTGGTCATCATGAAGATACGATGATACTGCCAAGAATAGATGCGTTTCATGCGTATTTAAGGCCTTTTCGAATCATGAATGTGTTTAGTTCAAAATATATGTAACGATCTATAGGTATATTAAAATTATGTTATAATGGTGGTAGGACGTCTTATGAGCCCGCACGGGTAGGTACCACCGCCCTGCCTGTTTTTACCGTGAAGCAGTAATGCTTTCGATTTGAAGAGTGGGGCAGCCGTTGTACTGTAAAAGGTTATGTCAGAATCCATGTCTCAAGGTGGGCGGCGGCATTGACGTTGTATGGACTCCGATAAACATTTAACGCCAGGCGGGCCGTGAGGTCGTCCACCCATTTAAGCAATAAATAAAAACTTAGCCCAAGCAAAATTAAAAACACCTTAGATATAGCTTTTACCCTTGGAGTGATACCCCAAATTATTCTTAGCACATCTACTCGCAAGGGTAGTTCCAATTTCGTTGCGTTATTAGTGCTAAACCCACACGGGTTGATATCACCATCACTCTTATTAGTGCCACGAAGCGTATGCCCTCCTGTATGAGACAAGTGTTTCCTTGCATACGATGAGGGGACTAGCTTTAGAGTTATGTAGTGGCAATTGCGATATAATTTTAATATATTTAATCGTTAAGACCAGATTGAATGAGTGCTGGGCGGTAGAGTTAGGCAGGCAGCTACCCTCGCAGGCTTACAATACCTCTTAATACGTACTGGTTGGCTAATGCAGTGGTACTAGAGAACAGTGTGTTGCCACACAGAAATAGATATGATATGAAAGCCTACTGCTATTGTTATAGAGTTCAATTAAGACTGACAAACTTCATCTACTTACGGCAAACCATATGTCCTTCCCGCCGAGCTGCCTTCCCACCCAGGTCTGCCTGTAGTACCTGCACGAAATTACTAATTAGTAATTAACAGTCTAATGAGCATAGTTTGGCGGAAGGGAATAGTGAAAATATCTTCACTGAACACGTGTGATTGCCAGGGCCGGATTCAAACTTAATGCCACTCCTGGGCACCGGAAAAAATCCGCCCCACTACTGAAATTTTACCTAAACTTACAGTTTATATATTTTATTTTTCAAAATTAAATTAACTAATTTATTGCGGAAACTTTATCATATGTCATATTCATCATATTCTAAAAACATAAATAAATATTTGTTTTTTTCTAACAATTATAAATTTTGACTAAGAGTGACTCATAGTAATATTACATCCAAAGAAAAAACTAATTAAATTTCTTTAATTACAGAAAATAAAAAAATCCATTATTTGTGATATATCACAATGAATTTCTTGCATTAGCAATTAAAATAGTTTAAAAAAACTAACAAAATACGCTTTTATAGAAAATCCAACTAAACTATTTTTCATTTTTTAGTTCAATTTCAGTTTTTTCAATATATTTTTTTAATTTTTTTTTTAAATATTGAATTGTCATCGGCCCTTAATAAGTATACCAAATTTCTAGTTAATCCGACGTTTTGAAGGGGGTCAAAATCATGTTCAAAGATTCCGTTACAAACATACATACGTCTGAAGCTAATAAAAGCGTATTATAATGGTTAGGCCTTAGATTAATTCGTACCTGGCCAGTATGATTCCCAGGGACGAGGCTCCCAGCCAGGCGGCCACCATGAAGCAGCCATGCAGTTTGAGCAACAGTTTGGAAGCGCCAGCCGCTGTTCCGACACTGGACAGCGCCAACGGTTCGCCTGATGATTCATAAGCTATCGTATGGAAGCCTACGCGTTCTGGATCTAAAATGAAGAATGTATTCAATTATTTATTTTTCCTACCTAAGCTGATATATCTCCATTCTTCAAGAGCTCGGCATTAAGCAGCGTCTTTTGGCGCTCGTTCATGGACGCATACTATAATTTTTTGGACATGTCTCCCGGCGAGGAAATGACTCTATAGAGCGCCTTGTCGTTCAGGGCAAAGTAGAAGGCACCAGACCGCGTGGTAGGTTGCTCATGCGATGGACCGATCAGATCAGGTCGGCAGTTGGCGGCAGTTTGCATGAGTGTACCAGGTTCACCACAAATCGGGAGGAGTGGCGATTGCTCGTGAGGCGCATAACATCTGCCCACAATGATGCTGGATGACGACCACGACCGCTCTGACAAGAGTGATACGACATACGAAAGCTGATAGCCTTGAGAGGCTATATCAGCGTAACCCTGACGTGTAGGTGAGCTCACGGGGCTCTAACCTGACGACTTTGCTAACACTAGCCCTAGGAAGAGCAGTGCTTCGCAGAATCTACCACCGGATCGGAAACGCGACCCACTGAGAAGATCCGGCGAGAAACTCAGTGGGCTGTGTATATACATTCGAATCTCGTTTTTTATTTTTATATATATAAATGTTGGCGGTGATCGTGTTGGAACATATTGCTATCTTTTTTTGTTACTGAGATTTCAAGGGCGATGACGTCATAAACTTCTTTTTTTTGTTATTTGCCTACCGCTCGTCTGATTTAAAAGGTCTTTTTTATTTGCGTTTGAGACTAGAATGTTAATAAAAATTTAGTCAACCTTATTAGTTAGTTATTGTTTTGTTTATGGACTGATTCAAACGAGGGTGTCTGAGAATTGTTCTAATTAAATTAATTATTTTGTTTACGCTAAGTAGAGTATGTAAGGTTGAATATCGAGAAAAAATCGACATCATAGCGGTTTAGAACCGCTTCGAACAGATTGCATTGAGAAAGCGGCCCGCAATGTGATGTAATATTTTGGAAATGGGCATCGTTCGAGGTCAAAGACCGCGCGTGATGCGAGATAGAGTTCACCTGCCGTCTTTGCTTTACATTGAGGGTTTGTAATAATGAATTTACACGATATGATTCAAAATTTTTCAGCCGTTTTCAGGTTTTTTATTATTTTTTTATTGCCTTTATAGGCAGACGAGCGTACGGTCCACCTAAAGGTAAGTGGATACCGTCGCCCATGGACTTCAGCAATGCCAGGAGCAGAGCCAAGCCGCTGCCGGAAGTGACTAGTAAGTTTGTATGTTTGTTACATACCAAACTTTCACAATTATAATATTTGCATAGATTATTGTTCATAAGAACATTACGTTGAAGTATAGCGAAGAGCTAACATCAATATCTTCCAATTTTACTGGACTACTAAAAATTAACAACTCTAAAAATCGAGATAAAAAACATTTAAATTTACGTTGTAGATGTCAATGGACTCCTGTAACCACTTAACATCAGTGGGGCTGTGAGCTCGTTTACCCAACTAATCGATAAATAAAAAGAATCAAGACTTGACACTTACCTTTCATGCCGTCACCGGAGACAATCATCAGATTGTATTTTTTGTTCATCAGATCAAACTTTATTCCCTTGACAGTCGAGACCGCGTCTCTCGTGAACTTACAATAAAGTTTTCCATCGATCGTCGAAGATTGGAGCAACTGCACTATATCTTGTGGAGAATCTGATCTCTTAACATAGGGCTCCACTTTCGGGTATGTCCAGGAGGTGTATAAATTGATGATGCCATTGTTGTTCCTGACGCACTCCATAGCGCTGTCGTCGCCCATTTTCGTGTCCAAACTCAGAGCAGCCGCCACGTATTTCGGATTCCCAGTGCCTTGGACTTCGAATGTGTAAACGTCTCCCGCGACGAATACGGCCACAATGGCTTTGCAATCGCCTTTCTCTATGCAGTTTTGGGGTACGCCAAAACACAGTTTAGTGTCGGCACAGCCTTGGTAGATTTCGTCTAGTTTTTGGGTCGTTAGTTTCGGCTAAAAATTAACGTAGAATTAAAATAAAACTGTTCCAAAATTTTTCTGTTATAATATGTTTTTTACTGGTGGTAGGACCTCTTGTGAATCCGCGCGGGTAGGCACCACCGCCCTGCCTATTTCTGCCGTGAAGCAGTAATGCGTTTCGGTTTGAAGGGTGGGTAGCCGTTCTAACTATACTGAGACCTTAGAAGTGATATCTCAAGGTGGGTGCCACATTTACGTCGTAAATGTCTTTGGGCTCCAGATTTAAAATCAGGTGGACTGTAAGCTCGTCCAACCATCTAAGCAATAAATAAATTAATTTAAAATGAATTAACACTTTTATTACGCCTTGCTCATTTTTTAACTGTCTTCGCCATCTTCCTTTTCTCTGTCATTCTATCTGTCATTCTCTACTCCCCTTTTTTCAGTTTTCTCTCACTCACATCTTAACGCTCCGTTTCACACTCCTTTCATACGTTCCGTTCTTACCAATCCTACATTAATATTAAAATACGTGGTGCATAGTTTACGAGAATCGTTTTTTTTTACAATAAATGTATTTAGTCATAAGGACTATTGAGCGGGGCGATATATAAGTTTTTAATTTGAAATTAAATTTTGTAAATATCTAATTTAATCCCTATTCCAAGGTTAGTAGTTTATTTATTTATTCATCATCATCATCATCATCAGCCTGCGGCAGTCCACTGCTGGACATAGGCCTCCCCCAAAGCTCGCCACTGAACCCGATCTTCGGTTCTACGCATCCAGTTACTGCCAGCTGCCTTGCGCAGGTCGTCGCTCCATCTAGCAGGAGGGCGTCCTACACTACGTTTGCCGGTTCGCGGTCTCCACTTCAGAACACGTCTACCCCAACGGTTCTCGGTTCTGCGACATATGTGACCAGCCCGCTGCCACTTCAGCTTACTAACTCTGCGAGCTATATCGATCACTTTGGTCTTTGCCCGAATGACCTCATTGCGTATTCGGTCTCGCAATGACAAACCGAGCATAGCTCGCTCCATAGCTCGCTGAGTAACTTTTAATTGGTGGACTAGTCGCACAGTCAGTGTCCACGTTTCGGCTCCGTAGGTAAGTACGGGTAGGACGCACTGATTATAGACCTTTGTCTTTAGACATTGTGGTATGGGCGACGAAAAGACCTGACGAAGCTTCCCGAACGCTGCCCAGCCTAACTGAATCCTTCTGGTCACTTCTTTCTCAAAGTTGTTTCTACTTAGTTGTATGGTCTGTCCCAGGTAGGCATACTCTCGAACAACTTCGAGAGGTGTACCGCCAACATCGATTGGTCTCGGAATGACGTTTCCGTTAAACATTACCTTGGTTTTATCCAAGTTCATTCCGAGGCCAACCCGTTGGGATGCAGTATTAAGGCTGTGCACCATTTCTTGTAGGTCCTGCAGCGATTCCGCCATGATGACGATATCATCGGCAAAGCGAAGATGTGAGATGTACTCGCCGTTTATGTTAATGCCGCGTCCGTTCCAGTCCAGAGTCTTGAAGACGTCCTCCAGTGCGTTTGTAAACAGTTTCGGGGATATAATATCCCCCTGTCTTACACCTCTGCGCAACTGGATTGGTCTCGTCTGGTCTTTCTGTACTTGGACGGTCATTGTAGCGGCATCGTACAGGCATCTTAGTGCATCGATGTATCGCCAGTCAGCTTGACACCGCTGCAAAGATTCCAGAACAGCCCAGGTCTCGATCGAGTCAAAGGCTTTCTCGTAGTCCACAAACGCCAGACATAGTGGCAGATTATACTCTTCAGTCTTCTGTATAATCTGCCGAACTGTGTGAATGTGGTCCACGGTACCAAATCCTCTTCGGAATCCTGCCTGTTCCGGAGGCTGGAAGTCGTCAAGTCTCTGAGCAAGACGATTTGTTATGACTCTTGAAAACAATTTGTAGACGTGGCTCAGGAGCGAGATGGGGCGATAATTCTTTAAAAGTGTTTTATCTCCTTTCTTAAAGAAAAGGACAACTATGCTCCTGCTCCACGCCTTCGGAGTTTTACCGGTAAAGAGGACAGTGTTGAAGAGCTTCTGGAGCTCCCTAATAACAGGAAGACCTCCTGCTTTCAAGAGCTCAGAAGTAACACCATCCTCCTCCGGGGCCTTTCCGTTTTTAAGATTTTCAAGAGCCATTCCGATCTCGTCTACACTAATCTGTGGCAGCTCGTCGGTGTAGTGGCGGGACAGTGTGGCTCGGACATCTGCTGGGTCGGAGACAGGCTTAGTTGCTTTGGAAGTATAGAGGCCTCCGTATAAGTCCTCAATTTCCTTGAGAATCTCCGGTTTGGAGGCGAGAATTTGGCCATCCCTTTTGGTCAGTTTTGTAAGGTGGCTTTTACCAAGATGCTGCACGAACACCTTGGCTCCTCGGTTTTGCTCGATTGCGTCAGCATTTTATTATTATATTAAAATTAACAAAACTAAAAATAAAAATAGAAGATGAAAACGCAAAATGACTTCAAGACATTTTATTATAACATGTTTTTTGCGTTTTTTTCTTTGCAAATTTTAAAAGAATAATAAAAAAAAGACTTCTAGCCTTGGTATATATAGAAAATGAACTTGATGTTTATAAAATTAAATTTGAAGTTGAAAAAATATAGATACAGAGTCCCGGTCGTCTTTAAGTTCTGCAGATACATTCCTCTACCTTTCGCCGTCCCGATCTCTAATTTTAATAGCAAACAGTTTGAATTATCTTACTTTCTTCCTACCTAAGCTGATAGCCTTGAGAGGCTATTTCAGCGTAACCTTAACTAGTAGGTGAGCTCACGGGGCTCAAGCCGGAGTGTTGCTAACACTGATCCTAGCAAGAGCAGTGCTTCGCAGAATCTACCACCGGATCGGAAACGCGACCTACTGAGAAGATCCGGCGAGAAACTCAGTCTATGGGTCAATTCGCTCGTCGAGCCCTTCGTCGCAAGCGACGGGTTCGACGAGGATGGTGACCGGTGCTTGAGGTACCTAAAAGCACCGCTAATAGATCGGGAGGATCCGTAATGACGTGTTTTGGGCGACGTCGACTGTTTACCATTCGGCCTACAGGATCGGGTATGTAGTTTCCAGCGGCCACGACAAGAGGGTTCTCATGTCGTGCCGCCTTCTCAAAGTGGCTATCTTACTACACAGATGCGTTCGTAATCATTTAAAAAATGATAAATAGGTACCTTATTTTCCATAATCACAGGTGGTGCACGAGCGGTAGTTGTAGAAGTAGATTGTGCCATTTGCGTCGTTATTTCCGTGTCCGGAGTGACCACTTCGACTAGGGGAGATTCGACGCCCTTCCAGAATGTGGCGTAGCTCTGTGCTACGGTTGCTCTGATGGCAAGAGCGAGCGGATTACTCTTAAGGCTATTTCGTATATGTTTAAAGTATGCGCAATATCCCGAACTTCAAAAACTGTTCCTATATTACTGGTAGTAGGACCTCTTGTGAATCCGCGCGGGTGGGTGCCTATTTCTGCCCGTGAAGCAGTAATGCGTTTCGGTTTGAACGGTGGGGCAGCCATTGTAACTATACTTGAGACCTTAGAACTTGTATCTCAAGGTGGGTGGCGCATTTACGTTGTGGATGTCTATGGGCTCCAGTAACCACTTAACACCAGGTGGGCTGTGAGCTCGTCCACCCATCTAAGCAATAAAAAAATTATAATAACTGTCCCACATTTTAAATCGTATCGCAGGTCTAGTGCGCGGCAGTTTCTGGCGGGCGGGATACAAAATGAAGAACGCGTTCGTAAAATGATTGCACTTGAAATAAAAACCGGTTGTGTTATTTACAAAAAAAACTCGTATTCATTATACGTAAATTCCGGTGTTGTTTAGTATCAAACTTATCAACGTTTTGTTTTAATTAAATGGAAGAGCGAGTGACGTAAAAACAAAACATGTTAAATAAATGTAACTAGAGGTCCCGCAGTAGTCGAAATTCGACTATAATTAGTTGGAATTGTAAGTTTGTACACTATTGTGATTGTATTTTATACTTCTATAATCACAAATTTCGCTAAGACTACACTATAAAAAATATTAACAAAGACAAACAATATTTAATCTCAATTTGACAACAGACGTCAAGAACAAAAGTTTGACAATAAATAGTATGCATGCGTGTGTGCGTCAAATACATGGTATGTAGTGTGTGTTATGTTTTCTTTATTGATTTAATGTATCTTTTATGCATTATTTAAAAAAATATTAGCATTGTGCACTTCTTCTCTATATTCTCTATAAGTGTGGAAAATTTCATACTCCTCCGTGCGCGCAATTTTCGTAAAAAGGGATACAAAGTTTTTGCTTCACGTATTAATATATAGATGGCTAAGTCATAGTTCGCTAACTACTACATTATCGATTTACTTGGTGGTGCAATAGTAATCAGTTTGTCATTTCTCGCCTCATATTGTATGCGCTTCCGATACCCACAGAACAAAAGGGAAAGGACATGGGCCACTCTCCATATATTGCCTGGCCCACTAAACGAAGTTCAAGGACAGTAATGAAATTAAGTTTAAATAATAGACTATATTTAGTAGTCATTTTGCTAGTTTTTTGCAATATAATGTTTTTTTTGAGAAGATTTAATGTGAATTGTTTAAAATATAAATATATTTTACCTATGGCAGCTCCTTCAATATTATCAATGTAGCTTAGTCATACTAATTTCTTTTTATTTGTGATTTTAATTATCCCACCATTAAAATACCCTTAAATTTTATAATAAGTCTGTAAAAATGAAATGTTTTTCTATAGATATTTCATTAATGTCCTTGAGAGCACGAGTAGCTGGGCCGAAAATGGCCCATGTCCTTTGAACTAGAGCGAATGAATGTTTCCATAAGTTTAAAAGTAAATGAAGTCGCTGTGGCCTAGAGGATAAGACGTCCGGTGCATTCGTATTTAATGCATGCATGAGATGCATTAGTGTTCGAATCCCGCAGGCGGGTACCAATTTTTCCAACGAAATACGTATTTAACAAATGTTTACGATTGACTTCCACGGTGAAGGAATAAACATCGTGTAATAAAAATGAAACCCGCAAAATTATAATTTGCGTAATTACTGGTGGTAGGACCTCTTGTGAGTCTGCGCGGGTAGGAACCACCGCCCTGCCTATTTCTACCGTGAAGCTGTAACGCGTTTCGGTTTGAATGGCGGGGCAGCCGCCGCGCTGTACTGTTAAAAGTGAGACCTTACAACTCATGTCTTAAGGTGGCGGCATTTACTTTGTAGATGTCTATGGGCTCCGATAACCATTTAACACCAGGTGGGCCGTGTGCTCGTCCACCCGTATAAGCAAAACTTGTACTTTTTCTTCGTTTATCACATGCAATTTCTAAAAATAGCCTTTAAACCCGGCGTTTTAAGGTCTGATATGGTTTATAGGTATTATAGGCAAAATAAATAATACAATACCTGAATTCAACGCCTCCTAAGAAATCGGTTGGAGCTTGCCACCGGAACGATAGAGCTCCTTTGTCCGCGGGTGACGAATGCGTGACCGTATCATTCGGCTTGGCGCATGTCGTCACGTGCGTTTCAGTGGCGGGAACCGACACAAATTTACCGACAATCGCATCTGGATTCTGCAACGGAAAACGCATTAGATTATAGAACACGTTAGGTTGGGTTCACACGGCATTGTCCTGCACGTTTATTTGCAGTGTACGTCTTAACGAATGAATAGTGACACATACATTGTACATAGAAACACAGAGGGATGACATTCCGTCCCCACATCAAAACTGTACCGTGCCGCCTTCATATTAGGACGTCTCTACCCATTGATTTAAACCCCATGATTTACAAGCGTAGCAAATTTTCCCTTCGAAATAAGGTGACACTCTACAAAACTTGCATACGCCCCGTCGTGACCTATGCAAGCGTAGTGTTCGCTCACGCGGCCCTCACCAATTTGAAGCCCCTTCAAGTCATTCAATCCCGGTTTTGCAGGATAGCCGTCGGAGCACCATGGTTCCTAAGGACCGTGTATCTCCATGATGACCTGGAGCTTGACTCAGTCAGTAAGTATTTACACTCGGCATCATTGCGTCATTTTGAGAAGGCGGCACGATATGAAAACCCTCTTGTCGTGGCCGCCAGTAATTACATACCCAATCCTGCGGACCGAATGGTAAACAGTCGACGTCGCCCTAAACACGTCATTACGGATTCTCCCGATCCATTAACGGTGCTTTTACCACCAACCACCACCACTTAAGCCACCGGATCGGAAACGCGACTCACTGAGAAGATGCGGCGAGGAACTCAGTGGGCTGTGTCTGTAGGTTAATTTACTTGCCGAACCCTTTGTCGCAAGCGACGGTGACCGGTGCTTGAGGTACCTAAAAGCACCCTTAGTGGACCGGGAGGAACCGTAATGACGTGTTTAGGGCGACGTCGACTGTTTACCATACGGTCCGCAGGATCGGGTATGATATTTTGACGAGATCGGTATTGATGTATGTTTACTGCGTGCATTTTCCGTCCCTGATAGCCCTACCGCACAATGTTTTAATCACGCTTTATACGCTACCTAAACCAATGTATAATACTTTGACAAAAAAAAAGTTAATGAGCACGAAAGGAACTCAAATTCAGTACCTGTATTTCTCTAGCTTGGAGCAAGAACCCACCGATAGGCACAGGGGCGCCGGCGGGACTTCCGATGGTGACGTTGAGTGTATCGCCTTGCCTGACTTGAGCACTGGACGTCAGAATTAAGTATGGAGGCGCCGACGATTGTGGCACAATCGATTCGTGACGAGGCAGCTGATCTTCACAGGCCTGGAAAGTAATAGAATTTTTACTGGTGGTAGGACCTCTTGTGAGTCCGCACGGGTAGGTACCACCGCCCCGCCTATTTCTGCCGTGAAGCAGTAAATCGTTTCGGTTTGAATGGTGAGGCAGCCGTTGTAACTATACTGAGACCTTAGAACTTATATCTCAAGGTGTGTGGCGCATTTACGTTGTAGATGTCTATGGGTTCCAGTAATCACTTAACACCAGGTGTGCTGTGAGCTCGTCCACACATCTAGCCAATAAAAAAATAATAATAGTGTGAGTGGGGTTATTTTTTTCTAAAATTAATAACTCGACTCCCAGATTGCATAGCGTTGAACTAATTTTAAGTGAAATAAATGTTTTTTCTAATTGTCTCGCAACATACATCAAAACACTGTCGCCCAATTAAATATAAATTAATCTTAAGCAATCAATCAAATGTAGTCAAATCTTAGTTATATAATTTTTTTTATTTTTGTTGTTAACAGTGCATGTCGATTGCACCTATAATTGAGGTGACATCTGCCATGAACTTTTGTCAGTTGGTCAATGTTTTGTATTGATCACTTTGTTGGTGCAACTTATTAAATAAATAAATATTTACCAAAACTGATAGACATTCTGATACTTCGCGCGGACGGGTAGGTGAGCTCACGGACTCAACCAGAGAGAATTTACCAACACTAGCCCTAGCAACAGCAGTGCTTCGCAGAATCTACCACCGGATCTGGAAACGCGACCCACTGAGAAGATCCGGTGAGAAATTCAGTGGGCTGTGTCTGTGGGTTAATTTACTCGTCGAGCCCTTCGTCGCAAGCGACGGGTTCGACGAGAACGGTGACCGGTGCTTGAGTTACCTAAAAGCACCGTTAGTGGATCGGGAGGATCCGAAATGACGTGTTTTGGGCGACGTCGACTGCTTTCCATTCTGTCCGCAGGATCGAGAGCCCCGTGAGCTCACCTACTCGTTCTAACATAACCTCCCGAGGTTACTAGAATAGGCAGGGGGAAAAAATTAGGTATACTTACTCCAGGAGGAGCTCCGGAACTGTACTGTTCAGAAAACGGAACCAAAACGAGCAGCGCGAAGATGATATTCCTTTTTCTTGGCAACATTTTGATTGTCCTGAAAACAAAAAAAAGATTTTGTATAACAGTTGCATTATGAAACGTAGAGCCAAAGAGAGCTAACTGTCTTGTCTGGGCAACAAGTGGAAAAAGCGTCCAGCTGTGAGCGGCAAATTACATTTAAAAAAACCCGTCAAAATAGCGCTAGCAAATGGTGTGATATGAAAGTAGTAGTTGTCAACGGAGTGAAGTGTGCTGAGTTGAAAGATTTAATGTTGTAGTTTTTTTTTATTGCTTAGGTGGGTGGACGAGCTCACAACCCTTCTTTTTCTTCTCAATCGTGTCACTCTTGACAGAGTGGTCGTGATCGTCATGTAGTGTTGGAAGGGGCAGACTTGATGCGTCTCACGATGTCCCGCCATCTCTCCCTGCTGGAGGCCATTCTACTGCACTCATTTAGGGGACAACCCACCTGGTGTTAAATGGTTACCGGAGCTCATGGACGTCTGCAACGGAAATGCCACCGCCCAACTTGAGATATAAGTTCTAAGGTCTTAGTATAGTTACAACGGCTGCAGAAATAGGCAGGGTGGTGGTACCTATCCGTGCGGACTCACAAGAGTAACCACCAGTAAACATATTTGAAATATTTGGCGCCATATTTGAAATTACATCAATTGCTACTGCGGTGCTGCCCGAGTCGGTCGCTTTTACATACACAGAGATTGTGCCTCATATCTCTAACTACGTAATTAATATCTTAAGTGCATTATTCACTAGTACCATTACATTATTGTAAATGAAAGTACTGTAAAAAATTCGTAAGAATTTGATTTGGAATCACATTTAAAACGAGTACGTAGTTCATATTATTTATGTATTTCTTTTACATTTAAATTGTATATAAGAATTCTTGTGATTCGAAACTTAATTTACAATTGTTCGTGGTTACGGAAGTATAAATACTTTATAATTGTTTTTCAATGCCAATCTACTGTTTACAATTTACTGCAGTTGCGTCACGGTCCGCCGCGAATTAGGTGGTTAGCGTAAATCGTGGAGATTAGTCTAAGGATGCCTTTTTTTCCTACCTATTGGTTGGTAGCTTATGGGGCTATTACAGCTACGCGCGAGTAAGAGTTGGTAACACTGGCCCTAGCTAGAGTAGTGCTTCGCAGAATGTATCACCGGACCGGAATCGCGACCCACTGAGAAGATCCGGCGAGAAACTCAGTGGTTTAAGAATGCCGTTCACCGTCTCGAGATATGAGTTTGAAGTTTCTATTGCACAAGGCTGATTCAATATATTCAGGAGGCAAAGTGATTTGCGGTAGAAATAGAAAGGACAGTAATCGTACAGGGTCAGAATTGTGAGCACATTTCCTAATTAAAAATAACTTGTAGAGTTCCCGCGTTTAGAATACTCCGCGGTTTTCGTTTAAGTGTATTTATTATCTATGGTCACGGACCAATAAGGTTTGTAATGCGGAAAGTTGTTCTGAATATGACAATTGCATTCGATAGTTTGATAAGATCATTAAATAAATAACCGTATTGTTGGTTGATTGTTGTAAAACAATTAGGTACCGAATATTAAAATATAAATTAAATAACTGATAAAAATTTATAAAGACTAATACACCACTTACGGTCAATGCTTTACAGTTTCTTTGAGTGAAATGAGACGTTGCTTCGGACAGTTAAATTGTTTTGTCATTAACGCATAGTGAAAGACGCGAGGTAATAAATAATAAACACCTGTAAAAGAGACAACAGCATACCGTAACCGTGCGATAGACAGAGATAGCTTAAGGAAGTAAGGTCGGAAAGTGAAGGGACAGGTGCGATACCTATAAGATAAACTTGGACTTTAGAATATTTCTAGAATGTAAAAGAAAAGGACGGGTAGAGCATAAATTGAAGTATCGTCTATGGATATGACGGTTAATGAGATTTAGGAGTAGCTACATGGAATGCTAGAGTATCTGTGTTGCATTACGCAATTTGCTTTGGACGTTTGTAAATTAAAATGAAAAGCAAAAAAAAAAAACGCATTGCTTATGGCTGTAGCCAACCCATGAATTGTGTCAATGAAAACTTAAAGATATATTGCTGATTGTTTTAACCTTTCGCGGCTATTTACATTATAAACACTTTTAGCTTACGCGTTCAACATTGAGTTATCGATATTTCGATTTTCGGCCATTTGCAAGCACGGGTGAAAATCGTGGTAAGAACTCGTTTAGAATGTGCTTAGAATGTCCAGTATGCTTATTGAGAGTTTTTTAACGTTCTCTATAGCGTAAAAGTTAACTAAAATTTTTATGGAGTTGTAACGTTTGCCTAAGTTTGCCGCTAGAGACGCTGTTCCAATTGAATATTTTGAGTGAACTTTTACGCTATCGAGAACGTTAAAAAACTCGCACTTAGCACACAGTATATTATGTCTTCTTCATTATTCACAACTACTGGCATCATTGGTTATTAATACCCAATCAAAGCACAATGAAAATTGTTTAGTCACTTCTATCGTTTCTAAACTAGTAACTGCCTGCGTCACGCTTATCCAAGGTGATTATTCTGCGTTCTGGCTTGCCTCTTACCAAAACTGACCCTTCGCTACTGATAGCTTAGTCGAATTCACGTGGCGTCGAACTTCCGTTTAGCGCTGCGGTATAGTGACTAAGGCCGTGAGATTTGAATTTGAAGTCGTCGTGGCCTAACGGATAAGACGTCCGGTGCATTCGTGTTGAGCGATGCACCGGTGTTCGAATCCCGCAGGCGGGTACCAATTTTTCTAATGAAATACGTACTTAACAAATGTTCACGATTGACTTCCACGGTGAAGGAATAACATCGTGTAATAAAATTGAAACCCGCAAAATTATAATTTGCGTAATTACTGGTGGTAGGACCTCTTGTGAGTCCGCACGGGTAGGTACCACCGCCCCGCCTATTTCTGCCGTGAAGCAGTAATGCGTTTCGGTTTGAAGAGTGGGGGCAGCCGTTGTGACTATACTGAGACCTTAGAACTATAAGGCTCCAGTAACCACTTCACACCAGGTGGGCTGTGAGCTCGTCCACACATCTAAGGAATAAATAAAAAAAAAGGCCGTGAGATCTTAGGTCAATTTACGCTAATTCTTTTATGAAATTGGTCCGCCCGTTCACGGCCAAAAAATAAAGTTCTATTTTAATATTAGAAGGTTAAGGTCGGATTTCGTTCGACAATTATGGTATAAAGACCATCGTGAGTATGTATTCGATTATCAGATTCAAAAAGTCGCCGTGGCCTATGAGATAAGACCGCCAGTGTACTCGTATCGAGCGATGCTACAGTACCGGTGTTCAAATCCTCCAAGCAGCTTACACTTTTTTTTATTAAAATACGTACTTAATTTATAATGATAAATGCCTTCCACGGAATAACATCGTTTAATAAATATTAAATCCGGATGAGTTCTAATCTGGGTAATTACCATACAATGACGTCATATAACTCAAGTTTCAGATTAGGTAACGTCTTAACATTAACATGCTGTAAATAATAATATTGACATCAATAAATTTTTTACTGGTTGTAGGACGTCTTGTGAGTTCGCACGGGTAGGTACCACCACCCTGCCTGTTTCTGCCGTGAAGCAGTAATGCGTTTCGGTTTGAAGGGTGGGACAGCCGTTGTAACTATACTGAGAACTTACAACTCATGTCTCAAGGTAGGTGGCGGCATTTACGTTGTAGAAGTCTATGAGCTCTCGTGACCACTTAAAATCAGGTGGGCCGTGAGCTCGTCCACCCGTCTAAGCAATAAAAAAATAAAATAAAAAAAAGACTATACGATATTAACTCAACTTTCCAAAATGTATCGACGAGCTCACAGCCCACCTGGTGTTAAGCGGTTACTGGGGCCCATAGACATCTACAACGTAAATGCGCCACCTACCTTGAGATATACGTTCTAAGGTCTCAGTATAGTTACAACGGCTGCCCTAACCTTCAAACCGAAACGCGTTACTGCTTCACGGCAGAAAGCAGACTCACAATTAATATAATTCATACAAACCGAATCATATCTTAGGAGCCGTGACTATTACGTTTCTAAGCTACTACTGTTTAATTTGCATATCCTTCAACTGTTTGAAGGTCACATCGTTGATGGCTTCTTGTGATACTGCGAGTATTACGAATGATTTATCTGTTACTGTGTATGATGTCATGACGTATGTATCTTTGGTAGGCAGCGGCTTGGCTCTGCCCCTGACATTGCTGAAGTCCAAGAGTGACGGTAACCACGCACCTGATCAGGTGGGCCGTATGCTCGTCTGCCTACATAGGCAATAAAAAAAAACTAGCCTTAAATTATCTGATTTCTTAACACATTTTCTTAGTGTATATTGTTTGTTCCACCAATCGGAGAGATAAAGGATTGTTGTACCTATTTGGCTTGCGTACTATATACCTTATATACTTACATCTACTTTTAAATGTATATTTTTAACCGACTTCAAAAAAGGAGGAAGTTTTCAATTCGACTGTATTTTTTTAAAAATGTTTTTTACCTCATAGCTTTTGATTTGGTGAATCGATTTTGATGATTCTTTTTTTTTATTAGAAAGCTGACCCTTCTTGTATTATCCCATTACAATTTAGTCCAACTCTGATAATGGTATCCATGAGAAAACCATATAAGTCTTAAATTTGCATTAAGTACGTGCGCGACAAATAGATGAATAACTCAATAACTCAATATCACGTCAACCGATTTCGATGATTATTGTTTTAGTGTATATTAACTTGTTTTGGAACATCTTTTTCTTTCTATTTGTAGTCGGGTTTTTTTTTAAAACATGTCTATTTACAATTATTATTATCTAGCTGCTAAACGTAGTACAATAATTAACAACGAATGATTGTAAGCAGGACAATAGAAATGGCTCAAATACACGACAGTTTTGCTTTATCCCTCGATATTTTACTGGTGGTAGGAGCTCTTGTGAGTCCGCGCGGGTGGGTACCACTACCCTGCTTCTTTCTGCCGTGAAGCAGTAATGCGTTTCG